ATGCTAAAATTCCAACATGAATACTTTATCCAGCAGTAATCAGATACCTTTTGAAAATGGATAAACTATTATATATATTTCTCAATTGCTCAACAACAATCATATATTCCATCCAGACCAAGAAAAGCAAACACAACAAGCCTGTAAACAAAAAGACATCTGAATTAGCTAATATATTGGGTGCTTCAGTGTTGAAAGACACTAAATCCATGCATCATTTGCCTCAGAGTCTGCTACACAGGTATGGAGTTATCCCCACTCTTCATTGTTAAGTTCCTCATATACCAAACCAAGGAAGAAAAATACACATTTTAAACACAGCAATGAAACCTGGTAACACCTTAGAATCAAATTGCTACTTTTATATCAAAATAACAAGCTGCTTTTATATGCATGTGTTCACATATGAACATTATAAAAATTTTCTCAAAACTAAGTCATCTTCGCAGAACATTCTGCAAACAAGCAGACAGACAACACTCACATATGCAATTGCATTCAAGAACATTAATGACTCAAAGATAAGTAAATTACCTTCCCAAGCATCAAAAAACTCCACATTTGGTGTCATGATTCTTGCAAAACTTTCTGCCCCAGAATTATCCTCAGCCTCATTACCACTTGTGGCACTCATTGATTCACGTGGATCAAAAAAATCCTCACTGTCACCATTTATATTCAAGTTCAATGGAACAAGATGCCGAACAACATTCTCCCTAGTAAACCTGTTGCTCACGTCACTGCTTCTAATTAACTCTCCCATTACTACTTGCAGATTCACCATCATGGGCACTATTCACATGTTGAACAGACCCAAGAAGCCCACCATTTGCATCCTCCTCTTTGATCGGGCTATCATGGATACCATTGTCATGCTCCTTTTCAATAGGAGTGGGAATGTTAAAAGTAACAGAATCACCCTTTGATGAATCAGCACACATGTTACTTTCTCCTTGCTTTACATTTCCATTAACATTCTCTTCGGGGAGATCTTTTTGCTGGGATGATACATCCTGTGCAGAAAAACTCTTTTGAAGACGAGGCCCACGCCGTTTGTGATTGACAATGTAAGGTGAAGGAGAAAATGAAGATGGTGAATCCGGAAGTGGAGTTGACTCAGGAGTGGCATATAGTGCTGGTGTTATTTGAGGACGAGAAACCTTCCTCTCTGCAACAGATGAACCATTTCCCCCCTCCAGCTTTGAGGTAGAAATAGGAGCAGGTGGTTTTGCCTTTGAACCAGACTTATCGACTGATTTGGAAGCTCCAGGTTCAAACAACCTATCTAAAGCTATAGCAGTAAACGTTGGCATGGCTCTGCACAATTCAAAAGCTAAAGTCACATAACCATAATTAAATTAGCTAATACATAAATCTAAAGAGAGTATAATATTTTGAAAACCATGAAAGATAAATCGATTACGCCTTATTATATACATCAGAAAACCTGAATCCTGA